CTTAGATCAAAAATTTATAACTCTATTCAGAAACGTTCTGGGATGCGGCAAAAAGGTGTCAAGGTGTAAAAGAACAAATGTGGTCAAACCCCGAAAGTGGGCGGGGCTGGCACCAAAGTGGGCGGGGCTTAGATCAAAATTTCACAACTCTGTTCAGAAACGTTCTAGAACGCGGGGAAAAAATGGTAGGAGGAATTGGAACAAATGTAGTTGAGTCCTCGAAGGGGGCGGAGCTGGCACATGGAAGCGGGGCTAGGACCAAAAAGTCATCTCTTCAAAAACTTCCTGGAATGCGGAAAATGGTTTGGAGCAGTCAAAAGAAGGGTGGTCAAGTTTATTGTGGGAAGGGTTTGCACTAAGGTGGAGCTATGATCAACCATTAATAACTCTGTTCAAATATTTCGAGCGTGATGCTCTCAGCAGTTCAGCGTTCGAATCTAGAGAGAACAATCTTATTCTGATTATCCAACATTCCGCTGAATGACTCCATCGTGGATAAGTGGCCGTCGACATATACTGCGCGCGTTTGCGTGCATAGCCAAACTGGTAAAGGATAAAGGATTGATAAAAGGATCAATAACATTTTTTAGTCACGACGAACACCACATAGGACAGCATTGCAGTGTACACCAAACATTACGCCAATCTCTAAGGAAACAGTGTCAAAAAAGGCTAGGTACGCAATTGAAATTTATCGATATGTAGACTTTTATATGTGGAAACTTCTACAACAGTTATTTCAATGTCTTCTGCTGATTCTTATTCTATCTCAAAACTTTTTTAGTGATGTTACAATCACTCCTTCGTTGGTTCGATCTCAGGCAACGTCCAAGTTTTCCACCAGCACCCCAAAGAGGTCGGCTGTAAGGTCTGCGTAAGTATCCTATATGGTAAAGGGGCAGTGAAATTCATCCTTTAGAGGTGGATTGGGGGTGTGGGGGACGCACGATTCGTGCGATTCTGGGCGCGCGTGGCAAATTGCGCGACGAAATTCACAGCTGTTCTGACGACTTTGGCGCCTATTTTTGGGGCCCAATTTTGAAGTAGAGTAGATAAGTAGTATCAGCTGACCTACTAATCTGTTTTACTCCAAGATTGTACCCCAATGATAGGCGCCAGAGTCGTTCAAATCGTCATGGATTTCACCGCGCAGTTTGCCGCGCGCACTCGGAATCGCACGAATCGGCACACACCCTGGGGGGTGTGCGTCGATTCGTGCAGTTCTGGGTGCGCGCGGCAAATTGCGCGGCGAAATTCGGTGCGATTTGGACGACTGCAGAGTTTATCATTGGGGCCCAAATTTGAAGCAAAGTAGGTTAGGAGGATTGTCCGACCCTACTAAAATACTCGACTTCAAATTTGTGCCTCAATGATAGGCGCAGGAGTTGTTTGAATCATCGCAAATTTCGCCGTACAATTTGCCGCGCGTACCCGGAATCGCACCAATCGAACGTCCCCCGTGGATAGACGATAGTAAGGTTAACCCCCCGGCATCAAGAAATGGCTCATTCAGCTCGAGAGCTTTTGAATTGGAAGGGAGTTGCCCTAACCTTCTCTCTCACTCATTTGCTCTGACTGTTCTGAGACTCCTTTCTTACTTTCATCTTTCGAATAAGAAGATGCTATTCAATTTGTTCAATTTGATTGAGTGTGTCGAAATTGAAATTGATATTCTTCACTTTCGACCGTGAGTTTTCTATCTTCAGTACGCCTCTCAAACGATTTCGCACCATGAATGACGACAAGGAACGAGCAGGTGGGCAATCCTCAGAGCTTTGTGAATTTCCGAGAGTATAAGTTATTTGTTATTGTTTAGAATGTTTGCCGAAAGAAAAAATCGCTCGTACTCAAAGTATGAACGTAACAAATGATGGCAGTGATGACGACTCCTTCCTAGATGACATATTTATGCCGTTTTCGAATCCAAATCAGTTCTCACAAATGCTTAAGCAAGGGGTTTCAAAAAAATAAATAGTAGGAATAATTAGTGCATGTGAATTAGCATTTATATTAATTTCATATAAAAAATCCAGAAGTATAGTACGCAGTTAGTTTCTGGCTCAGCCAAATNTGATTTAGAGCTGTCTTGTTTTGTAATAGACGTGTTTGAACCCTGCTCTTACTAACAATAATCTTTCGGTATCTTATCGTTCAAATCTCATTTTTGCCATGTTTCTGATTTATCTTACACCTTTGTTGTCGGGTTGAAGCTACCCATGTGCTTACTCGTACGTCTGTCATAACAGTTTTTTCCGCTTACGTGTTTGCTTACTACATGGGAATTTCCGAATGATCTCAATCGCAATTTAAAGACTCAACATGAATATAACAGACACAAAACGTATGATTATGACGGAAGAAACTTAAATTAAGAGGAATGATTATGACTATAGAACTCGTTTAATGTTCTGGACAACACTGCTAAGCTGGTCGTCCAAATCACAGGAACTATCATTAACGATAATCATATCATGTGGATAGTCATCCAAAGCACATTCCGAGGGCATGTCATCAATTCCGTCGACAAATACAAAACCACGTCGCTGCCGTTCTTCATCACTGGCCGTTACGCGAACTTTCAATGTATTGTAATGACTTTGGAAGTATTCAATGTCAGTTGGCCTTCTGCAGTCCGAAATTATGACAACGTCATCGGTACAATCCGGAGGTATGGTGACCCTGAAATCTCGGTATAAGTTATAGTTACCGCTTAAGCTCAAAAAGAACCACCTGCAAAAATAGTCCGGTTGAGCATTGCGTACACCTTCACCCCATCTTATCATATTAGCACGATGAATCTCCTTATAAGGTCCATCGGAAACCAATTCCGAATAATTCAAACCTACAAATGACAATTGAATAATGCAGTGAATGAATTAATATGGCATTGATTCATTGGGATTCGATTATAAGCTGCCCATTGGAGGCTGTGCTCAATCTCAAAGGCATTCGAATGCCCCTACTCGGTCTATCTTTGGGCCGCACGGTGCATTGCCATTGTACTTATCTAACTAGGGTCAATAGGGACAATAGCTGAGCAATGATCAGAGCCGAATTCGGGGTAATACAGTGTCTGCAAAAGGGCTCTCTCGAAGTGAAACACATCACTCGAGCTCTCTGACAACATGATGCTATACGTCTTCAGATACAAAGGGGCAGTTATCATGTAACTCAATGTTGTCTGACAAATATGGTTAATACACCCCTCTCTACCCCCCCCCCCCCCCCNTGTTGGTTGAACTTTCAATCCATTTCACTGCCCAGCCAGAAGATTACTCGTTCCTGCACCTCAATTGAACATTTTTAAACCGCCGATCAAATTTGCGGGCTACTCCCACCAGTGTTTCCTTGAAAATATACAAATAAAAAAGGTGCTACACCTACCATGATCTTGAGCATACAGAGCCTTCAAGCTATGAGAAACACCATGAATGGACACTTTAAGAGGAGATAATGCAGCCTTCAGCTTCTCGCTGCAGTAGTCTTTCCCAGATTTCCGCTTTCCAGAAAACAGCACAACAGCTCTCACCATGATATTACTCTACATTCATTGTAGAGTAGCATCCATCTTTACAAAACAACATCATCTATAGAACATTGTACTAAGATTTATGAGAAACGTAATCTGGAGAAAACCATCAACTGCTTTTTATGATGTTCAAGATCACACTTGTTTTATTATAATATATGTGCATCGAGTCGTTAAAGAGTATTCAAAAATCACAGACAAACAAGAAAATATCTATTGTAAAACAAAAGGTGGAACATCCAACGATGAATAACTTATTGAATAGATTCCTTCACATGAAACATTTTAATCATCTAAGCCCCGACGATGATGTTATTGATTGGAATATGGATAAGTTTTACGAAGAATCCAATGAAGCCCATTATAGCGAAGCCGATCGCCGTTGCAACTGCGATTTTCTGGTACTCTGAAATGTTTCAGTACAGCCTAATTAAAAATTTGGGAACCAACTATGCTATTATATGAAAATGATACCATTAGCATGGATCTATAAATCTGCCACGAAATGGGATAAAAAACGATGTTGAAGCGGCTGACACTCTTAAACCTAACCAATGCTCAAACGGTGGGAACTCGTTGTTCTTTAACCAGTTTCTAGCTAAACAGGGACTGATACTTCGCAACATAGCAAAAAGAGTGTCCAACTATGTGTACCCTGCTCCCGATGAAGAGCAGTGCGAGTTTTTGGAAGAGTTTCACTCGACCAACACAAAAAAGTTTCAAAAGAGACCTTGTCTTTGAAAAAGACAAAGTTCGGTTTCACTTCAGCACTCAATCAGGCAGAAGCGGCGGCGAAGGTAAAGTAAAGAATTTGGATTAAGAAATGGGATTTCGCCATGGTATATTAAACAAAATTGGGAGCTTGCACGATTGGAACTAGCAGGAACTGGTCTCTGGGCTGAACATGACTTTCACTATTTCTTTTTTCATATTATTTTGCTATTTTATTGATCTTTTCCTCTTGTTGTGCAAATTGTATGCAAATCACGCACCAAGTGCATTGCATTAAATGTAAAACATTAGTTCTTGAATAACTCATACTGCCCGCCTCTTCATATTCGTCAACTGTTCAGTGTGCGTTTTCACAAAAGATAAGAAGAGCAAGATGAAACAATTGTACGAAAACAATTCTCAAAAAGCGTCATACTATAGCCAGAATGAACTGCGTCTATAATTTTGAAAACAGAGCCCACGCGCTTTCGCCTGCTTAAGATTGGCAAGATGGACTCAGTAACACGACCTCCGGGCAGCTAGCTTAATGCAAANCAGGACAACCTATCTAGTAAATTCGGGAGTCGAACCAGTAATCGTAATCAAATTGCATTCGCAGCGAAGTGCTTGTGATGGGTTACAAGGTCAGTCATCTCACCCGTTCTCACAGCTTACCAAGTACAGCACAGAAAAATTAGAAAAAAAGGAAAAGAAAAGGGGAACATGCGAGAAATTTACGAACCTTTTCTATCTGGCTTAGTACATCTTTTTACCAATCGGATCGAATCTTTCGCAAACTGGCGGCCTGGTTCGATGAGTGCTTGGAACTGATCCATTATTAATCCTAAAAAGTTGTAGTGTACAGTGAAAGATAAGTTTTATAAAAAGTAAACGGAAACATGATTAATCAGAGCGATTTTCAACCACGCTTCGAACTAAAAGCATTTAGTTTAATATGCAAGTATTTGGAAACAGGAGACATCAAATGTTGCAGAGATGGCCGGTGATAAATGGTTAATAATACTACTACTTCACTGTATCGCAGGGTGTCAAGTCGGGCCTCCTTCCTGCCACTTTGAGGCCTATGTAGGTTCAATCACACTTTAGAGTACTCCATAAATGGATTTATTTATTTATTTATTTGGTGCACGCTTAGGTGCGCTAACTACAATTCCAAGATCACATTAACTCAACAACCTGCACTCAATTGAGAGAAAGTATGGTTCAGAACAATACATGCTCCAATACAAACGCAATAATGCAAACAGTTCTAGGAGCACATATATTTTGGAAACATTCAGATCAATCTTAGCCTATGTTTACAGTCAATTACCACATCCTTTAAAAAGAGAGGAGATACGCAGTACAACCGAAAAGCAGGGATTTTGTCAAATGAAAGGTCGGGTTCATTACTAGGAGGTAAGTAACAAAGCAAACAACCATTTCTAAGACCATAGCAGAAGCAAACACTCCCCGAAGTACTAAGTTATTCCAGCCAAGAAAGGTTACACATTTACTCGAGGAAGCAACCGCAAACATAAACAAAGGCACCCGAAGTAACATTTTAAGCACTCTCAACCACCATGAATGATTTCAGCAACTTTGACAGGAAAATAAAAAGTAACAGCAATCCCACAAGAGGGTGAGCCCGTACAGCTCCCAGCTAGGCGCTAATGGCCCGAGGAAGACCACCGCCAAACTGCGCTCCCATGTGGCCGCGCGACGTCACGAATAGCGCGTGAGGCGAGGAGGCGCAGGCAGTCACCGTATCCGAACTGCAAGACCAGAGGCGCGCATTTCAAAGGTGAATTTCACTTAAGAACCTGTTCATGGTGTCAAACTCGCTTGGGGGCGCGAAGCGCTGCTGTATGGGGGAGAGGGCGGCCGTTGACGATTTTCTCCGATTAGTCGCGCTTCGTTCTCCAGCAGCTACTCATGCTCCAGAAAACACTGCACTGAACGTCTTCAATAGAATAAAATTGCTAATTTTTTTATTTGACGCCTCATCAGCGAAAGGTCTGGAGCTTTGATGGTTCGGAGAAGTTGGCTGGACGTACTGCTTACTGCGGTCATACTGCTACCAGCAGTCAACGCTGATCTGCCCACTGAACTGGATCCATTCCTTGAAGTGCTGTTCGACGTTAAAGAGTGTGGGTTGCTATCTAATTAGTATCTCGGAGTTTACTGTAACACTCTCGCTCACGCGGTGACAGCGTTTTTTTCATGGGAAACTCTTCCCGAGGGACCACGTGGGGATACCTATGACCTCTTTTTTTTCACTTTTGCCTTCCTAAATTCTGTCTCATTTCTCGCTAATTTCATTTCCGTTCAGCTAATCTACGATAATCTCGAGGAGATAAGCGCTCGGATGATTGACGATATCTGAAAGGCTTGAACCTTGCAATCGCCCAAATGGGGCTGTTCCAGTTTCAGCTCCCATGATACGCTTTTAAACCAATTTATGTGATTATCATTCATCAAAATCAGTTCCGCATGCTACCTGCTACCTCTGCTCATCACTAATTGACTGTAGTCTGCCTTCACAGCGGCATACCTCTTAGCTCTCGGATCGAACGGGATTTTCCCATAAATACTTTTAAGACCTATGTTTCCCCATTGCTATGAGAGCTCTATTAGATTTTTCATAATATTTTTCAATTCCCTCGGGTTTTTTCATTTAGTTGTCATAAAAGCGAGTTCTTCTCACCGAGGGTGCCCCACTTCTTGAGAACCTAAATTTCTCCGGTCTTTTAGCTCAACTTATCTTGTTGTAGGGTCTCCTGAGCTCCTGGTGGTCCGGGAGACATCTGAAAATGATAGTTCTGTTGATTTTGATGAAATCGTGGTTCATGATTCTCCTCGATAGGGTACGGTCAGTTCTTGTGGGGGAGTAGTCACTCTGATAAAGACCTGAATCATATCGGCAGACTCTCTGAATTGACCAATTGCTGTTGTTGTTTTGGTTGTTGTTTTTGTGGAATACAACCGCAATGACGCAATCATGACACCTGTTTAGAACGCATTTTTCTACTACGTGACGTACGCCTCGGCACTTTACCATCAACAGCACTTTAAAATGCTTTGTCTGAGGTCCGGTTTTGAGTCTTCAACGGTAACCCTGTTTCGCGGCCTTAGGTGGAAATGATGGACGATTTATGTATGAGTCATAAGGGCTTTTCGGTCTATACGCTGAGTCATTCCTAGAAAGCATTCAATGGCGTATAATCGATCCCCCGAGTAGAACCCGAAAACTTCCAATGGCAACTGGTTGATGGGTGGAGAATTCAGTGAATTACTAGCGCCCAGAGGTCACACCGAGTCCTTTGATTTACTTTTGGGAATCGCCCACTTTTAGTCACTCTTTCAGGGAATCGAAGTTTCCTATCTCTTCGATTCTCGATAGATGTAAGTATAGTAGTACTACTAGCCCTATCTTGGATACTCCCAATTCCCATGACAGGATAACATATAGGCTCCCGAGTAAGGCGATTGTCCCGGGAGTTCAGCTGTTCTTTAGTATTGCACCCATCTCTGCAGACCTTGAGGTTCCCAAGGTTTTGTACCATATCGACCTAGCTGAAAGTAGTCGATGGTAATGTAGGAATTGAGTGGATCGATGACAAGTGTGTTGTTCGAAAGCGAACGGTGATGGATGAATCTGGAGCTTGAACGTCAGCCCCAGATGAACTGGTTAGCTGAATGCTTTCGGGCAGCGTTCATGTGACGTTAGCTATTGAATGACACCCTACTACCCTGCTTTGTGAATAGGGAACTTTATGGGAAGGGAATGGCTTCATGGAACTATATGACTCTCATTAGGTCCAGAATACACTTTCTAGAGCTAGCATTCCTTGACTGGTGTTTTTCATAAAGAGATAGATATTTATAGTAGTTGATTGGCAACCGGAATGGGTAACGGAGGTTTATTGACTTATACCCTAGGATTATGGTTTTTTCAACAGTATGAGAGGGAGAGAATCACTTTGGGACTTATTTGGATGCCAACTGAAGTACTCCTGAGACGGTCAACAGGTTTTCCCCTTTCCTTTCTTCTCGAGTTTCCTTTCCTATGAAACTGCCATCAACGAAGGCGGGCGACAATCTTTAGTTCTCGCAGTTTACGCCATGCAACTGACTTCCATCCAAAATCTCTCAGTTTGCGCCATTTATCTGGCTTCAATCCAAAGCTTTCGAGGCATTCGACCATATATGGTCCATATAGAGACTTATTAGGATAAGTTCAAAATCTGTGCTTACATCTCTCAAACTCAGCCTCTAACTCCCAAAATCTCATTCTTAGGGAATCCTTCTCCCGAAAAGCGTCATTTATGTACAACACCGGAAAATACTGTTCGAACAAATTCTCCACAGTATCCCTTTGAAAACCTTTCAATAAATCTTCGGAACAACATGAGACACTGCTCTAGGAAGGATTTAGTTGGGTTCCATGGATCGGGGATGGCCAGAGTTACTGGTACTCTTCTCTTGTTAGCTGATGTTCAGAAAGTAATTGATGTCAACTGAAAGAGTCAATAAAAAGTCAAAGAAGGGGAACAAGGATTCCGTTCCTTATAGAACTAGAAGTTTGCTGTCTTTTTGTTATACAAAGAATTAGTTACTGAGTAGGTCGTTTCCAGGTGACTCCTTCCTCTCCGGCGACTACACATCCGTGGCCACAAAAGACTGCCCTCCGTATAAATGCGACTTCCCACTGCAAGTATGTATGCGACCGAATGCTCAATACCAAGAAGCCAGTGCGAACGAATGCCGTCCGGTACCTACAGATGTGAGTTCTTTGATGACTCACAGCACTTCAGCAATTGACGCTATTAATCTGGAGCTCTTCTTTTTCAAAAATTGTTGCAAAAATTATCGCCATCAGAAAGGAAAATTGTGTACAACCTCGAGAACTGTTGAGGCTCGATGTATTATTTTAGTCAACAAGAGGTGCCAGGTCTTTTCCAAGCCTTTGCGGTCTGGGATTAACTTTTCAGAGGTTTCTTCTTCGTCGGACTTCGTTTTTTGCATANTGATGCGCTTCCTATTTGACATTTTTCATTTTTGGCCTATTTTTCAAGGGTTGGTTCAATTATATTCTGTTTATTTCGATCCTTCCTTTTTCTTAGTTGAAAAGCTTTACCCATAGAATCAATGTTTAAAAGTTTTCGACTCGTTTTCATGACCATAGCTGAGCGACAACTGTTTTTTCATCCTAAAAATGATCCAGAAATACTTCAAGCCTCGCGAAACTTTGTGTTCTGGGATAGTAAAGTCGGCGTTCTCCGTTAACCAATCCCATTTTAGGGATGTTCTCCGGCGTTTGACTTCAGAATCGTTCTAACACCTTGAAAGCGTATTTCGTCTACACAGTGACTGATGGTAGTCAGTCGAAGTGAAACCAGTAATTTAATCCTTTCGGACAAGTCCTAGACCAACTAACCCACACAAAGATTTGAGGGTTGCTTACTCAATTGGGTATTAATCCTTGCACCGATCCCTGGACACTTCCCACTACGGTACGCATGCGTCACTTGGCACTACACTACCTCCGCTGCTTGTAAAACTTATTTCTGAGAAACTTGATAGCCATCGCCTCCAGCTGTGAGAAACGGGGTTAATTTTCATTCCCGCAGCTTCGTTTTCGATTTCTATCACATTTTACTCCTCCATTTATTTATTTTTATTTATTTTTTGCTTTATACAGATCTATGTTCCAAAACTCGTTGCTTAATGTTCGAATTTTATGTCAATTGAGTGGTTGTGTTTGACGGTACACTCCTGTGAAAAATAAATAAATACATAAGTAAACAAGTGATTGATTTACTCATCTTTTACCCTTTGCATGATATTGTACTCAACACAAAGTTCGTTCAGTGTTTGACGGCAGCGAACGGAGGCAAACCAGTCGCCTCATCTCTACTGCCCATCCCAACTCCAACACCAACAATTTCGAGGACAGGAGACAAATCGCGAAAAGAAATGGGTGGATTTGGAGGATTTGGCGTTGGAAAGACCGGTGAGAAGCTTTTTTAGGCGAGAAACTAGCCTCAGTGGGCTTCAAAACAAGCAGATTACAAGTAAACAATGGGGAGTGGTTTTGACAAAGAGTTACCGTATACTCTTGGATCCCCGCTCTACTTTCTTTTCAAAATAGAAACTCGAGTGAATGGTCGAAAGATTAATAAGCCTAAATATGGATAACTCAACGCAGTGATTATTCTACACAGGAGTCTCTCCTCTTTAAGATGCAATTTGATAATTCAACACGAATTCAATTCTCTTTGAAGTTATATTGCTCTATTTCTGAAAGACCGCTCTTTAACCCCATGCTGCCTACTATCACCCATCTCTTTTCTAAACCTTGAAATCTAAACGAAGTACGTTCCAACAGTTATCCGGAAACAAATTGCAACAGTTGAAGGCAGGTTTGGCCCTTTTCGGGTAACAGCGCCACGCCCTAAACGGAATTGCAATAGCGTCACGGGTCGTTTTCCCCGTCCAAAAATGATTCAAAAGCCGGACCTGTGATGAGGCGAAACGTCTCGCAAGTCGGATCCTTCCGCAAAATACCTCGCGCAACCTCGCCGAACCCGGACTTCGTCTACCGCCCTCTGAATGACCGAGAAATCAGCAGGGGATTACTTCACGCAGCGACTTCATCCCACTGTTCTTATGACGTCTCACTTTGAAATAGAAACTATTAGTAGAGGAGCTGGAATGAAGTGAAAAACATTGAAATTTTGTGGCATCAACCTTTTTCAATTTAGGCTTACGTAATCGATTTGTACGAAATAGAAAAGGGAATGTTTCACTTCTTCGACGAGTTTTTCCTTATTCTAATTTAATTGGCTGCTTCCTCAATAAAATTTATTACTTAATTCGCAAAATCGAACAGTAGCTCAAGTAGCTGAAGGTTGTGTTCATGCAAATTTTCCTTTCGTCTGTACTTTATAAATGAACAAGCCCTATAATAAGCGCAAAATGTTTGGGACTAGATTCTTGAAATCTTTTCAGAACTACGAGAACTTCCCATTTTGGACATAATTAAGGTTTCAAAGAGACATACCTACACATTTAAATTTCAGCCCGATTTGACCTTGACTAAAATCTGCAGTAGGTTTTAACACGCTCATAATAAGAGGGGTGGGGAGTGGGGGAGGGGGGGGGGAGAGCACCTATAGGACTTGGTTGTGTCTGACTGAAGGCAGTGTGGCTTTCTTTGAAGTAATTCAAACCAAAATTTACTGAGAATAAGGTCTATGGCTTTGATCAGTCCCGTCTACGGGATGCACCCCATTGGGAATGGTAGCGGGCTTGATGCATAGGTTGCCACTTCTGCCTTCTTCGAAAAGCCTGGAACCAATTAATCGACCCCACTGAATTGGAAGGGCCGGCGGACCTGGGCGAGAATCAATCCGAGGTTCGATCCTGTGATGATCCGATTTGTCAGACACATATCGCTCTATTGATTGATATTGCTGCTTACTCAATGGGAGTTATTATAAGTACGCCAAGGTAACTTTAGTTTAGACTGGAATGAACAGAATGGTGAATAGTAGTAGTCTTCTGACGGCCTCCTTTAAGTAAATAAACAGTAAGTGGAGCCTTTGGGTCACCTAACTGGTTCAAAGTTTTGCATAACAGGTAACAAATGTCCCTCGCACTCCGGAACAACTGAATTTACCATTCGAATCAATGTTTATGGTCGATCGCTGAGCATTTTCGCCTAGTGCTATTGAGGCAGGGTGCGCTCTCCTCGAACCTTTTAAGCTCTATGATCCTACATAGTTTTCGATGAAGGGCTGATTCGTTTCGTGTGTAATGTTCGCCGGAACCCGTGTTATACTCTGATGTAATGCGCATATACACTGGTTTTCTTACTGACAACTGGTTTTCAAGGACTCCATTGTTTCCTTTGAAGCCCTTGCCTAATCAAAAAATCTTGGTTTTTCATGGGACGAAAGGGGTTCCCCAGGCATGTTGAGTCACAAAGGGTACAAGAGGTGTGCTGCAGTTGGAAATAAAAACGCGATTTCAAATTGACATCCTGGGAAGTGTTTCATCTTCATCTGGTCTCTTAATTGCAGTGAAGATAACGAAACAGGGAAATCATCGCCACTTTCTGATTCTCCTTAACCAGCTCCACCAAGCTTACGCAACTGCAGGGCTATCTATCTATGATCTTCCCCAACCAGTTCATTTTCCAAATCAACGAAGTTTATACAAACAAATCAACAATAATTTGTGTTAATATATCCGTGAGCGGCTCAGTCGTTTGTGCTTTGAGGAATTCTCATTGCTTAGTTGCGCTTACATTCAGGTTCCATCTTCCTTTTACAAGTACCTCTTCTCAGAATTTTCAGGAAGTTCACCTTTACTGCTTCGAAATAAAGGATTCACCACCCTGAATAGTACAATATTCTCGGAGTAAAATGGGTAGAGTTTTTGCGTTAATCAATCCCGTATTAGGGATGCGCCTCGCATTGGCACATTCGACTTCCTTCTGAACCGTAAGGGCAGTTTGAATGCGTGCGTGGCCTTCAAAATGGATTCCGGTAGCCAGCCAATGTACAAGTGCTTTTATCCTCCTAGACGAGTCTGACACCAATTAACTGACTCTATATGAATGAACTGGTCCTTTGACCTAGGCGAATACCGAACCGGAGTAGTAATGTAACAATAAGCCCACACCGTACTAAAGAGGAAGCACACTTTATGAAAAGGTCATTCATTGAATGTTTGTTGAAAAGCAATGAGAAACAGTTCCAGTGAATCCGATGCCGATCAATCCAACAGATATCTGTGAAATGGGACCACCAAACGGGCGGTTTTGTGGATTCAGAGTCATGTATACGTATAATAAGGTAAGTGACGAAATTTGAAGAGAAATTTTTAATGACAATCTTTTTTTTCGGACACTTCAGTAGTATTGAACGGGCAATGCCCTTTCTGGGAGAATTATCCATGGACCGATACTTTGATCAAAAGTGTATACCGTGGGAGTGCCGTTCGGTGTTTAGGAAACGTTGCAATGTGATGAATTCTGGTTTCCCGGATGTACAACGGAGGAAACGAATGCAAATCTATTCAGCGACCTCCGATCATGTCAAAAATTGGCGGATATGTGCAAAGGTCGGAAGATCACTCTAGGGTTATAACGCCATATTACCAACTATATAAATTGATTTGGGACTTTTTGAATATGCCTTCCGAATTGAAGTAGGCCTAACTCCCAAGTCAGAGCCTTGAAAAATTTCTTCAAAATGTGCTAGAAGTGTCTAAAAGAGATACTTTCTCATCTTTTTATGCTTTATTTTCTAAACTATTCTTTTTTACTTCAATTTTATTCACTTTTACTTTTATATTATCTATATTTTATATTGATTGCTTATAATTAGTGTTTATTTCAATTGATATTAATTTACATATTTTGTTGTCATTTTGTTTAATTCCTTTACTTTTCTTGGTTCGACGTGCTATATCAGTGCCTTTCTTTCTCAACCGATTGTTCCAATTTATAATTATTTATCTTACTATTGTCCAGCTTAATTATACTGTTCTTGAAAGCACTGGCGCACCTAGAGGTTTTTGGCATTAATCAATCCCGTTTTGGGGTGCGTAACGCATTCGACTTCCATTCCGAGTCGTAGCGGCGGGTTGAATGCGTAGGTGGCCTGTACAATGACTTGCAATGGCCATACGATGTTCAAATCAGTGCTTTTATCCTCCTTGGCAAGTCTGGGACCAAATGACCGATCCCGGAAAGGTTTGAAGATTTTTTGACGTGGGCAAGGCTCGACTGGGATTCAATCCTTGGAACATACGAACATGCAATAGTGCATGTATGGCCCTACACCACTGTTGCGGGCTTTTTCCTGGAAACTTATCTGCCCTGCTGATGTTAACCAGCACTGTTTACCCTATTTCAAATGACCTTTTATGTTTAATTATGTAACCTCACTAACAGTATCACATATCTCTCGAATTTCAGTAAGATCCACTCCATCTCCGCCGCTTGTGCTCACACCGGATCCACCAACATCAACAACAATGTGGACACCTCGACCTCCTCCCACTCCGCCACCAACAGCATCACCATTACTACCTGGCCTCATGGGTAGATATGGTGGTCGAATAAAACCACGTCGTATTGGAGTGGCAGGATTGGGAGGCAGACATATAGGACTAGGTGGTGGAGGCGGCATGGGAGGCGGGTTTGGAGGAATGGGAGGAGGACATGGACGAATGGGAGGTGGACCATCACAAGTAATAGGAGGAGGACTACCACAAGGAATGGGAGGAGGACTACCACAGGGAATGGGAGGAGGAGGAGGATCGCAAGAGCTCGGAGGAAGTGGAGGACCATTTGGCACATTTCCTGGTCTAGGAAGCGGTGAGTAGTTAAAGTGATCCGTTCTGTCATAGCCTATTACGCTACATTCAATAGGTCTTTAGCTCTCGGTGGTCCGTCTCCGACGGTCGCTCCAACCAATGGAGGAGATGGAGAGGATCTCGGTTTGCTTGGGCTTATTCAACAGTCGTTGAAGAACGCACAGGCCATAAGGCAAGGTGGTCCTCAAGGGAAAGAGGTACGTTACCATTTGGTCAATTGCGATTCAAATAAAATTGGAAATAGGAAAGTAATGAGCAATACTAATGAATCTTTTCAAAACCACAATTTTGTTATTAATTATTATTTATATTTGTTACGTTGTTGATTTCGGATTTGTGATATTTTTTTTCTTGATTTAGTAGAATTATGTTATTCTTTTAATCATTCATCTGATTTCAACTCTCTTGGTTGGGGGTTATTCTACCGTGCTCTTCGTCTCTAACACAAGGCGTTAGAGTGCAGAGAAGGAGGGAAAGCTGACTTTGGGGGCATATCATAATGCTTAGAAACGTTTCTTAACGGAGAGATGTAGTTTTCAACCTAAGTTCCAAATGGGAAAGAGCCCCTGTGTGGGTGTGCTGATTATGTCGTGCAAAAAGCTGGGATGGCGAAAGAATTGAACATCCACTTGATCACTGATTCATTTTTATTCAATAGATGAAGCGGTAGAGGGCTGGCATGATGTTCCTGCTGGGAGCACTCAATCACACCGTTGCTTCTCCTTCCAAAACGCTTAAGTGAAAAATATACTTTTCTGGCTAAGAACGACTTCATAGCATCTTCCAGGACCACAAAGCCGGCTACCCTCCTTCTCTGCTCTAACACTTGGTATTAGCGACAAGGGGCACAATCGTTTCCTTCTCCCCTCCGCCCCCCCCCCCTCACATGCCAACCCACATTCTTCAACTGCATTTTCGCTCACCATAATTAGTACTTACTCGCTTTATTGTGTTGTAAGTGATTCCCTCTTCCGATCCGTGAGCTGGAGCATGGGTGCGGTTTCACCAAAGCAAACTGTAGGAGAAAGTGATTCCGTTTCCGCATGGGACAAAAGCTATGAATGAGGACATACTCAGTTTACAGAATTTGCGTTTGTTTATTTATATGTTTTTTCAAATTAAACTGGATTTCTACTTATTCAACACAAATCCTATGTAAATGGAGTCGTAAATTTCAGGCAGCTGCCGCAGCTGCTGGACAAATTCTGCAGCAGTTTACGGGCTTCGATCTCAATAATATAGGAGGAAACTTTGGAAATTTATTTGGAAGATAGCCAAATGGGAACTCACAATTGTATATACTGCCAGTACTTGTTTTGAATGACTTGTTATCGTTCAATTCATCAAACGGGATCATTAAGCTCATTGACAAACGTCCAAACGTCAGCCACTGGGCTTTCATAAAATGTCTTTTCAGTGTATTTTATATTCAGCCTCAGTAACGTTTCTTTCAGTTTTTGACAATGTGGTCTCGCCTTTAAGTTTCCATGAGATTTACATGATCTTTTGTGATAATTTTCTGTGGTATCACTTGACTTTATCAGTTGTACTTCGGAAGGTCAGCCCTTTCTGTGATAACAGATCAATAGATTTGCATGTTAGTGTTTGCAAAAACTATATGTATATAGGTACTACATTATAAAGTTTGATTATTGTTTGTTACTTAGTGCTTTAGTGATTATTCATAGTAAATATGTAAGTAATCTTCAATTTACTGTCTGTTTCTCTTTGTAAACATATCATTCGTGAAGCATGAATAGAATGATAGTAAACATTGAAAAACTTAGAGAATTTTTGTTCAACTTGATGAAAAAAAAAACGCTCAAAGGCAGAGAAAACCATGAGGTCAGACTTGCTGATTATGTTACGCAAATGTTCTTTCTGTTTCCTTTAAAGGTGGTGTGGTGCAGTGGCAAGTGGCGCACTATCACACATGCATGGCCAGGAGTTCAAATCCCGGATCGCCTAGGCCTGCCGAGCCTTCTATCTCTCCAGGGCCGGTTAATTGGTGCCAGACTCGTCTGGGAGGATAAAAGCACTGACACGTATATCGGCTAGCCACCGCAAGTCATTGTATAGTCCATAACGTATTCAATACGCCACTACGATTCTAAGTGGCGTATCACAGTAATAAGGTCCATTGACGCCACGTTATGCTTCATTATCAATCGTCTTCGATTTCAAAATAGAACAGAAAATTCATACTTTATTAAATTATTGGATTCATGACCTTGATAAGAAACGGACATCATATTATGTTAGGGACCATTACAAAAAAAAAACCAACAACAAAATTTCATAAGTATAATCTCTGATAATATAATGATGTAGAATAATTAGGGGGTTCGAACGGTAATCAGTGAAGAGCTAATAAGAGGTCAGACTTAGAAAAAGGGGCAACAACACTTATTTTCTCATTTTTTTCTTTCTCCTCTTTGATTATTATTATTACAGTAACCTCTTAACTTGAGGACACATACAACAACATACAATTTGGTCATTTTTGTTTACAATGCCTAGATTTTTGTTTACAGTACACTGTGCCTAGCCACATACATAATCTCTGTATATAACGATATGTACACACAGTCCCAAATCTACAGTCAATAAAAGGAATCAATGAAACACTCGGGAGAATACTCGTATTGATGGCAGTTATTGATCATTTTTGTGCAGGAGTACATATGGATTTGGTCCTTTGTTCGGGTCGACGGAACAGCATCAATTCGGCGATATGAGGGCAAGACGATGATCGGGCATGGCGAACCTGAACGGACAGAGTAAGGATTAACACCAAGAAGTTTAGATCCATTGGGTGGGGAGACGGGCAGTAGGAACGGTTTTGTGTAATCGATCCGCCGCACGCGGCTGTCGCGGACCATTTGCCTCGTTATAACTGCTTTAGCGTTCTTCATACAGCTANATTGCTATGTGATTATTACTTTTAGCATGATTCTACTGTTAGATCTATTGTTCCTGTATTTCTTACTTGCTGCTGCATTCTGTTACATTCCTTCGCACGCGGCGTCTGTGGCGCCGTGGCGCGACAATTTCGTTCCTACTGCACCATACCCCATTGGGTGCTATTGGGGTTGGCGTGGCCGATATTTTATTAGGGAATCGAACACCGAACCATGCATGCGGTAACGGCGCCACTTGCCACGTCTCTCCCTAGTTTCTTACCAGCCATAAATTTAATAATACAGCTGTTGACGGTTTCGTCGAGTTCAACAAAAGGACAGATAACCTGAGCAGACCTAGTCTGAACCCTTTCCTTCTTCGACATTTAACCAGTCGAGGTCACACACACCTCTGACTTTATTTACTCATTTGTTTACTTGTGGCGGTCAAAGAGCATTCAATTGACCGTGGAAGGAGAAGCGCAGCCTCAACAGTATCTAAGGATAGGTAGAGAAAACCTAATACCTCTCCTCATTGTCTACACTGTCCTAAGAATAACAACTAACAATAGGTCCGTAAGTTAAGCCCCACCCACCGCTCCTGTAATGGATGTTCTGAAAAGGCCTCCCACTTTAAGAGATTCCCGGCTGTGCATGTGCCTCGTCTACGGAGGGTATTCTTTTTATAACTATCGACACCCAGAAGATAAATCTTGAGAGCGCAAAGCATGAGAAGCCAGTTAATCATTCGTTGGTGGGCAGGGAGTTGGTTTTGTACGGGTTAAGACAAAGCCTTTTTGTCCCCACATTATTGATCATTTCCAAATAAATTTTAGCTTAACACCAGAATGGACTTGTTGTACAGCTTCCAAAGTTGAATAGGAGTTCATGTTCAGGCGTTTTTCTAGCCGTCAAACAGCCAGATTCGAAACCGAGAGCTGACTCAGATTTCCCCGAAAGGTTACATCCGAAAACAGTCAGTGGCAAAGAATTAGAGAAAAGCCCGTAGAGAAAAGCCCGGGAATTCCTGAGATCAATGCGCAAAAATAGTGGATAGTACGAGATTACTATATCGGAAGCAGCATGGAAGGGGTATTCGGACAAGATTTCAGCAGTTACAATTATGCAAAAGCTGGCTGCTGTAAGCAGAGAACGCCCAGACTTGTCTTACTAGCAGAAACTTGTCTTCCACTGTTGCCATGGATCACTACTAGTTGGTTGAGCTTTTACAACGTCGTTACGACTCGTCCGCTTATGGGTGTGGCCTATAGTCGATACAATCTTTAGGGCATTATAACGCTTTATCTAAGCCCTTTTCCGATCTGACAGCACATCGTGTGGTATACTAACGGGCCACAGGTTCATCCTAGGGGAATGTCTATGAAACCATTTTTATGGTCATTCGTATATTTAATTAGATATTTTTGAACACCGCGGGATAACCGGTGGTTATTTGAGGATCCCAAAGTTTTCCTGGAAGATGAACTATACTCCAGATGAGAAGATTTCTATGGAATACTCCCTTTTTATGTGAGATTCTCTCCAATCAGTATATCATTCCTGTCTAACCCTCCCGGGGCCCACTCAATGAAGCAGTCGAATTTTTAAAAACAAAAGTGCGATGAACGCGATCGTGTTGAGTAAAAAAAAATGAAAAATGATGCTGCGCCCAGGGAGCACTCTCGACGAAACACAAAACAGCTTGGCCACCCATACTGCCCCGACAGCCAAGATACTTGAGTCAGCCAGTTATAACTGCTTGTACTTCTCAGTAGTAAGCAGTCATCAAAGACTTGTTCCAAAGATTTACAAAAGCGGTATATAAATATTTATTTTGCTCGAATGGAGTGAATAAGGGCTTCATTAGGGACCATTGAAACGAGCTGCAAATGTTGCAAATGTTCGTAGGCTCAAACAGACTGCCTAGGGGATCGAGTGGGTACCGTAAGCCGTAGCACGAGCCAACTACTCCTCTAAAATTACTTTCGTTCTGATCAGGAAAGGAAAATATTAAGTGATGTTACTCCTCATTTGTGGAAGGATAGCCTTACAGAATGGAGGAGGGCAGAGTTCAATCAAAAAAGGGAAAAGGAGAAGGTTTGGAAATTGGGTTGAGGGGGGGAGGGGGATGGTGGATTGCCAAATGTAATGGAAGATGGATCTGTTCAAGAAAGGAAAACTTTCGAAGTAGTCTTGAGGTTCAAATGAATGCTTGGCTCATATAAGTACACAAGGACATGAGGTGACAAAAAGTGTTTCTAAGCGTCTAAACCCACTGACCTGCTCCAGATAACTGTCTTTGATTTCGTAGATGACGAAACTAATAAATTTACTCCACGTTGAAAATGATTTCTCCTGAAATCCATCATTTAAGTAGTGTTTGAATGGAAAGGAAAAGTGTGGAAGTAGAAGACTAAATGCTATACTCCAGTCAAGATTCATGGGTTCCTGGCACCACTCTACCGTATACCGTTTATGTGTTCCTGGTATAACTAGATACGTATAGGGAGTTGCACATTAAAAACATTCACAATAAAAACTTTCTCGAGCTATGATTTTCAAAGATTTTGGACGAATTTAGGTGTGTACCTTCCCTCCCTCCACCCGCTTCCCACAATCGCTCCGAAAAAGCGTTTACTTGGCAATAAAAGAAAAAAAAACGATGAGAATCGAGGAGCACAGCGGTTCTCTCTAATGGCACATGAGAGTTTAGGTGGATCCCTCTTATAGATTTTCAGAGAAGTTCAACCCACCAAGCGCAGCCTTTTACAAGTCAGTGCTTTCATCCTCCTCTACGAGTCTAGTACCTACTGATCGACCCTAGAGAGATGGAAGGCTTGCTTGGCCTAGGCGGGATCCGGGATTAGAATCCGTGACCGCGCGTGTATGAAAGTGCACCATTTGCCACTACACCGTATACGTTCCATGGTAAATCAAAGAAATGAACTGGTTCTTTGATGTAGTCTTTTGGGAGGTATGTAAGTACACTCACCGAGTTATCTCGACAAAGCAATGAAAGGAGCACGTTCTTGAAAATAAGCCATTTTTCTGCCGTGAAACTCATCGTACGAACGTTTCCGTGCTGTCGACCAACTATTCTGGAATTGATGTCAAGATTTTATCAGGAATTTTGGGATAAAGGTTATTAGTTATCAATGGTCACTTTCTTGAAATTCAATAAACTAACGACTGATTACTTGATTTACAAGTAATGCTTGGTGCGGTGATGACTGCGAGCAGAATTTTTTTCAAATTAAATTAATCATACAACATTGGTGTTACATACATCAAAGGGAGTAAATGTTCTTGTTTTTGCCTTTTTTTCTTGTCCAGTGATCCAGTGATTTTAGGAAAGGTCCCTGAGCTCCTTAAGCGGTCACTAGGCATGCTCTTGAACATGATTGGGCAACATCCCGGAGTACATCACAATGTCCATCAATCCTAATGGTGGCTGGAATGTGGTCGATAGGGAGTCATGAAAATCGCAGTTCTGATCGACGGATGGTAGTAAACAAGTCATTTTTCGAATGAATGTCAACAAGTGGAACGACTGCAGTTCCACCTCCTACAGATCTATGCGATCTGTCATGATATCTTCATGACGACTCAACTCCTTCGATGAACCGGAAACGAACTCGTTCTTGGACCTGTACTGGCCCCTAGGATCGAAATCAGAGCAAATGTTACGATGTTGTAATCGTTTCACACGGGAGTTTGGAGGTTGGAGGAGGGGGGGGGGGTTTAGAGGAGGAAGGAGGGCGGTAAGGTGGGGATATTAACAACTGTTAAAGGAGGGAATGGCTTTGGTTCACTCCGACAACAGAGATCCACGCTTTCTAGGGATTTTATGAGAATCGTCTTAAACTTTCAGAAGACAAATTCAGGAGTTAATTTTGACGGTGCTATAAAGGTTCTCTAATAGAACTAGGGGCATGAGCATGACGTGGTGGAGACATAATTTTTTGTTCTCCCTATCCCTTCTCTCCTAAGGGAAGAATCAAGTACCGGGCAAGGGAGATGATAGAGGTCAGAAGAAGGCTTATGAAAGTCTTATTCAAACCAAATGTGAAAGTTGCCCTAAATATCAACAAAAACGGATTTTTTATTGCCTTTCTCTTTTTCCTAGATTACATCACGAGAGACTGTTCTCAATTTATCGATGATGTACTCACAACTATTAAAAAATTCAAGTAAGTCGAATACAAGATCGCTCAAGAACTATCAGGATGAAAGGATGGAACCTTGGGGTGTTAATCAATCCCGTTTCAGGCATGCGCCTAGGCGATCGACTTCGATTCAGAATCGTAATGGCGCACTGAATGCATATGTGGCCTATACAACGACTTGGGATGACCAGCCAATGTTCAAGTCAGTGCTTTTATCCTTCCAGACGAGTCTGGTACCAATTTATCGACCCCAGAGGGACGAAAGGCTTGATTGGCTCAGGCGGATATCGATCTGGGATTCGAACCCGTGACCATCACCTCCGCCCAAGATATAATTAATTTGTTAATCAAGAATTACCAGAATAATGATAAAATTTCCTTTTCCGTTTTAGGCTTTTCTGGGTGCAACAATCTGTTGCGATCATGGCTCTCAGTCTCTCGCTTTTTTCTGGTAGTCATCATTTCCTTTCTCCTTTTTACTATGTCATTGAACGACCATGTTCTCCGCTTCGCCGTCAAAGAAAGGGCCCCTGTTTAGTGAGGCAAATCATGGTGAAGTCGCAGAGAAGCTTACAGAGCCAACGTTCCCAACTAAACAACGAATGAGTGATTATTTTGAGGGCACCTAGGGAATTTGTCTTTGTTGCACAGCGAGCCCTGATGAATTCATTACTACATAGACAAACCACTAAGAAGGAAAAATTTTGTAAGGAGATCAAGAGAGCATTTTGGTTCTCATAGAAGGAGGTCGTGCTGAAAAAAAATAAAGGGGATCGGGGTGATTGTAGAAGGCAGATTTTCAAAGCATGTGGGACACCCATATAGCGTAAGGACAACATTATATGGCGCTTTTTCGCAAGTACGCTCTTTGATAGACAAACCCACAAAAGAATTGAAGGCTCCAAGAACTTCATTCCTTTTAATTAATCTTGCCCCGTTGATGATATTTTTGACGTAGGGCGAAATGGAGGGTCATTCGTTGAAAAAGAATGAGAGGGGGTGGAAAAGGGTAGAGGAGTCGTGTAACGGGTGAGAATGTAAGATTTTGCACAATGAATTCGTCAACCGACCAACATTTTGGGAAAAGAGACTGTAAAAGGTGAGAAGGTAGTTCCCCTGGCTAGACCTGAAATCTCTACAAAGAGTCTTTCCGCCGGACAGTGCTTGCCATTCATTAACAAACTTTTTTCCCTTCCCTACCAGCCTCTATCCCTGCCTTCCAGCCCAACGTCGCTTTGTATAGCTTGGCCTGATCTAACCAGGGAGGGGTAGTTTACTTATCTTGGAACTTTGAATGGAGACCCAGATGAGTCGATAGAGTTCTGAATGCTGTTTACGAAAATGTAAATTAAAACTGCAAAATGGTTCTTCTTAAAAGTTATGGGGGCCCNTTTCGTGTTACCTCTATAACAATGTGGGATCGCAAAACTTGCTTCCGCCTACACTTGTAGCAAAAACCACGGATATCCTGTTGTTGTGAAGCGATGGCACGCATTGATTATTAAAAACTAGAGGCCCCCACCAGATCTCCCATGGGATCTGCATACGGGACCTGCGCGGCAAGAACAACACGAGGATTACGATGACGTCTAAAAATAGCATTGACATCGCATTTCAAATGAGAGGAACATTTAGAGTACTCAGAAAGAGCAAGTGCAAAATTAAATAGTAAAGTACGAGTACATTCCAAAAATAACTAACTCTCCACTTATTTTTAGGAATACGAACAAGAGGTTTTCTACATCACCTTTAGCACATTATAGGCCTAAAAATGGCCCGTGCTTCGCCATCCTGTCAACTAGGCCTCTTACAGATGCGTTGCAACCTTGTAATGTCCTTGTCATACCAGTCTACCACCAACAGAAAGCGTCAAACCTCATATTCTACTTTGTCTACGGAGCAAAAAAGCCGCCCAAGTAAATGTTCATCAAACAAGGCTAGGAACCATAGAAATACCAAATTAGCAGAGAATAGCTATGGGACAGTTGGTAATTCCATGGCAGCTATTGCATTGTAAGCAAAATGAGTCCTGACAAGGGCTGAAGAAACTGAGAACGACAGTACAGCAGCCGAGAAGAGTATTCCCAAACAGCCTCGTAAGCAACCTTTCCGAAATCCCCCTCTAATGGAAGTGATGACGAGCTCGGGACAAAATGGCTATCATCTGGAAAAGCGAAACAGTATCCCATCACTCAATCAATACGGATAGAAGGTGAAGTTTCCGGCGTTAATCAAACCCATCTCTGGGATGCACCCTCGACGCCCATTCCCAGTGACAGCTGCATTTGAATGGTGTGTGGCCTTTACAATGACCTACGGTGAACAGCCGATGTTCAAGTCAGTGCTTATCCTCTCGGACCAGTTTGGTACAGGTAACCGATCCCGGAAGGGTGGAGCCTCAGTTGGTTTTGGTGCATATGGATCCAGGATTCGATCCCCGGACCACGTTTGTGGTAGCGCGCCACTTGCTGAAACATTACCTTCCCTGTTTCAGAAAATACCAAATAATTATTTATTATTTCTAGATAGTAAAAAAATATAAGAGGGAACGACTGCTCATATCTACCGTGCATACCGGAAAAATCGAATTAACAATGCCTTTTCCAAAGGGTCAATGAACCAACCTCAGAACTTGAACGATATTGTTGAGTTGATCTGGTCCTTTGGAAAGCATTTCGACTATGCCCGTGAAAAATCGTTGGAATTTACCAACATGCGTTCGAAAACGTTGATCCTTTCGAAGGTCTTGCTCATTTAGCTTGTCGAGACCGAAATGAACAGACAGCTCGATTTCCTCTTCCTGTAAAAAAGAAGCCCCCAATCAGAGTATTTTGGAAATAGCCAGATTTATTGACTTACTAGAAAGAGCTGAATAAACATCCGCTCGAACAGATCATACTTGTTCTCGAGTTTTTGGTATTCTTCACAGATCTTGTTTACTTCTTCTTGATCAGCAACAAACACTCGACCCGAATAACTGAAAAATGAATCGCTGTAGCTCTGGGAAGAGGACCCACTTTCACTGAATAAACTTTCTTAGCCAGTTTTGTCCCGATGCTTTTTTTTGCTAATTCTGCCCCATCCAAGGGAGAACTCGAACCTTTTCCTGTTTTTTCCACCACCTTGCATATTCACTAAACTAGTAACACCTCAAACACGTCCTTCCGATGCTCCCGAAAAGTTTCTTTCCAACTTATTCTACGGTATTCTCAAGTGAACTCAAAAAACAAACTTTTCTAAAACAAACTGCTTTCATTGAAAGGTTTTTTTACATGACTATAGTCATGTTTGGGATGTCAGCGATGACTGAGCACGCCAACAGGTTGAGAAATATCAAAGGGGGTCTTATCATGGGAACGGGTAGAGGGATTTAATTTATGAGTGATTAGGTAAATTTCCTAGAGCTTCTAGAGAAATCCATGGACTCGAAAGCCTCCTTACATTTCATGTGACCATTCGTTTGTGGAATATTGACAATTCCTAGGGATGGATTTGGAATAACTGTCTTTTTGAAGCAAAATTCGGGGGTTGTAAGGATTGGGACATTCTTGGTGACATCACGCCACAGCCCCCACGTCACTCACGAGACAAAAAATTCGACTCTGCCCAAGGCAAATGGATTTTTTTCTCAGTTTGTAGGCCACTTCTCTCAATTAGTGAATTATCTACAATTTGCTTGGGCAAAGAGCTAATGACGTGTTTCTCGTCTAGACAAATTCCCTTCGCAAAGAGGAGACCGGGACGGTGACTGGTTGCTCATCATCGGTCTCTTTGTAGCTTTTTGGTAATAAACCGAAGTTGACCGTCCATTTTTAAGAGGCACTGTGAAACCTATTGAAAAGCAAGGTATTACGCGAAAATCACCAGATAAGATACTGGTCTTTAATAAATACTCATATTTTTCCTGTGACCGTACCCTATCCTGAGCTCGCAGTAGTCTTCCATACCTTAGTGAGATTTTGTGATTCTCATAGCCATTCAACAAGTAAGTCAACAACTCCTCTCCTGTCCAGCAAATTCATGGCGCACCCCTCTAGGCTGTGCCATGTACTTGCCTTCTAAAAATTTTGCTGTTTCCAGATGCATTGCAGCTTGCTGACTCGAATTAGAACTCCCGCAAAGAACTAACTCGGTGGTCCTTCTTTGAGGGGCTCTTATCGCTGCAACCAATCAAGCCACCATTCATGTGGCACTTCAACCACGTCACTTCGACTATTCTTCAGAAATTCGGTTTGATCGCACCTTTTAGAGTATTGAGATAAATAAGTGAATAAACTTCTTATCCGAACACTTGGTGTTGATGTGAAAGAGCCTCAATAAGAGCTAATATCAGACGGACGAAAAATGCCGCTGAACGCTGCAGAAATACTGGGAACGAAAAATGCCTTCTGAGTAGGCCTTTGATGAAGTTCAAGTTCAGTGTGGCGCAGCGAAACCCCTTGGTCTGTATGACCCTACTGCGATTCCCTTCAGAAATGGGCCCTCTTAACTATAGAAGAAGAAAGGTGGTCAAAGCTATTTATTAGAGCCTGACCTCAAAAACTACTTTAAGTTTTCAAAATCCTACTCCCACCTTACGCTAGTCCTCTCCCGAGCCACAAACAGGCTTTTGCACAATCTTAAATAAATGGCGAATACATTTTGACTGTTCGGGACATCTGGCCCAGCACAGACGCTAAAGCATGGGAAAGAATTGTCGAATAAGGTAACCATTCTATGTTACTCCAGTTTTCTTCGACTGAAACGAATTCTACGAAATCAGCTACAGAGATGGTCTTATTCGTTCAGTTGTAGTAAAGTAATTACAGTTGGAGTGGATTTGAGTAATCGGAATGAGTAACTAACCAAATCTGGTAGGAATCCAGCTTTTCCGCTCCCACCCATATTTCTCTTTCATTGGAGCTTTTCTGGGTAATGAAGTGGGGACAGAACTGAAGATCGAACACCACCCCAAGCCCTTCCAAAGGCTATTTCAGGATACATCTCATATGCAACTTTTGAAAAATATTTCAATTTCGCCTCGGCACGTTGTTTTCATGATGGACGTTGGTCTTGACGTGGGGTGAATTCTGTTGTTTGCATGGAATCGACCAATTTCAACCTCATAGAATTGCATTTTGGCTTTAGTGATATTTGCTACGACATCCGATATTGACGACAACATTCACAAATAGCTTAGCAATTTCAAATTCTGGCTGCTTACGCTGTGGGAAATCGGAATTTTTAGAAAGGCCTGGTGCAGCTTTCCACAAAAACTTATGAAAAAGTTGGTGTAAAAAGCTCTAGTCTCTCTCTCGAGTGATTCTTCCAGGAGTTCCTCGAAAGGACTTCAGAAGCCCACCTCAAAACGGAGTTCGAGAACATCCAAAACGGATTGTTGTAAGAAAACGTAGATAACCGAAAAGGATACCTGCTGCTAATGAAGATATTCTCGCCACTGGGTGGACGTTGCAGTTTCCGTACCAAGTTCTGAATCCTGGCCGTATGCATCGCCCTGAAATGACTGAAGCGATCAGAGGGTGGTGGATACCGAGACAGGAGCGCACAACAACAATGTCAAGGGGATTTGGGTAAGATGGAAGGATAGTCGAGGAAGGCAAGGGGTAAGGCAGGCATAAAGGGGATATAAGGATCAGTATGGGGTTGATAAGACTCTAGGGAAAATTCTGATACATATTAGGATGCCCTTAAAGTATCCGCCTACAATTTCACAAAAGTCCAGATTTGTTATGGATTGTTCTGAAAGTTTCCATGGAATTACCTCAAAAGGGCATTACCCACTCGTACACGCCTTAAAAATCCACTGTTATCAGTAGGTCGACAAGATCGAGGCTAGCCTCCAACCTTGTCGGCTTGGGAAGCGATGGAACGGGGTTGGGCAGAAGCGCTTGGAAGAGTTTCCCAGGTTTTTAGAAGAGCCTCCGAAACGGTTCTGCCAATACCTCGTTCCTTCGCTTCCCAGCCAGATAAGGTCTAAGCAGTTGAGTGGCAGGATCCGAACTCATGAAGGACTGCGTGTTGAATATGGGAGACAGTTCTGACCTAAGGCGGATATGTCATGCGTGTACGGATGGGTGAGGTTCTTACGAAGATACTCTCATGGAAGCTTCCAGAAAACCCCAGGAGAAATCTGGCCAAAGTCTTGGCAGATACTCCCCGAACGACCTAATGTTACCAAGAGCTGACAACAGCTGATTATTACCTTCGAAGTACCGGCGACGGTGAGAGTGAACTCTCACGATTTCGATGCTTCACGTAGTTTGCCGACAGAGAACAGGAATCAGACATGATACTGTCTGTTACTGTCAAAGATGAAGAGTATGAAGGAAGTGGATGGATGATTCTGAGAAAAGTGCAGCCTCACGCTTTCACCACTGGCACACCCAGACTACGTACTGGAACCGGATTATTCCTTCAAAAGTAAGCTACTGGTAGTACTCAACGAGACTACTGCGACATCGGAACGAAAGAAAACAGTTAAAAAACGCACAGCCCACGACGAAGGTTACCCTGCGGTAACTCGTCCAGCAATCAATACATTAGACTGGGAACTAATTGTATTGACTCTGGAATAACGGGCGTAAAAGGGGCCAATTATTAGATTAAACTAATGGAATTTCCAAAAAAGGTTGCCGAAATATTTCAATAAAAAGGCAAAAGGCCTAGGAATTCTACAAAGGTTATGAATAATCCATCTTCTTGGTCAATGCCCATCTTGAAAGGCTCGATTTGTCGAAGGCAAAGGTGTCAATAGTATCAGGTTAGGTTTTCTGGCTCGGGGCTCCCTATTTGGACCAGGGACAAGGGAACTATCATATCGAGGAGAAAAGAAATGAAATTCCAAAGATTTTCCCGATTTTTTGTTCTCACATCCATTTTTTTCTTGCCAAAAGGGCAGTCGCGACGTCAATTTTGAAAGATTGCCAAGCCTACAGGGAGGTATATACTTTCTTTTTTACAAATAAATCGTCTGCTAAACTTTGATTCCCGGAAATAAAAATTAAATAGTTCCTAATAATAATTATAAATAGTCATACTAATGGTTGGAAAATTATTTTCAAAACAAAAATTTTCAAGCCGCAAACAAAAATTACACTACGTCATTCTTTACTTCTTCTTTCCACGACAATAGAGGAAAAATTAAGGAGAAAGAAAGTTAAGGGTAAAAAAAAACTCAAAAAATCCTTCGCAAGAGAAGGAAAACAAACTAAAGACGGCGAGAACTTTTTTATGGCCTGCCATGATGGGTAAAACTACCCAAGCTCAAAACATACTTTTTCGGTTATTTGAAAGGGAAAATAGCTTTTTAATACTGCCTTCTCGGAGGTTTTACTGTATTTTTCCATTTTTGTTCGAACTCTGGCACCCTCCTTGTCTGCTTTCTGATTCTTTCAATTCTAGAATTGGAGCAATCGTTTCCAGATTTCGTTATCGTAAAACGTACCCATGGGTGCCATAAAGTAAATGGAATGGAATATTTATTTCTCGGAATGCACCCTTGAACTTTGAAGCTCGACATTCTCCGAAATACCCTTCGGTGAGCCGAGGACGAATTCAGCAAATCATAATTTTCAAAGAGGCTATCATTTAAACCTACTGAACACAATCAAAGACCACTGGGATCCAGAAAGGAGATAGTACGAAAGTCAAATAGGAAGGAAATGTGAAAGGGCCAGTCACAGGGCTAAGGACTGCTCTCATTGAAAAGCCATAGAAAATTGAGATGGTCGGTAGTGACGTCATTCGAGAGTATTGGATAGCGCAACATTTGTTTATCAAGTGTTTATCAAAAGGTAAACAATGTTTGAACAGAACTCGGGAATGTAACTGTCCGGTGTAACAAAAATAACTTCAAAACTGTCCTGAACGGAACCATAAGTTCCTGTATTTGAACTCTACCGTAGCGGCTAATGTTCTTACCATGATCTTTACGGGACAACTAACCAAAATCACGACGAATTGTAGGTTGATTGGAACTACCGCCATATACACTATATGTATACCATATATGATCTTTAACGAAAGGTAGTGTACCCTAGAAATAGGTCATTGACCCGGGGACTATTCATAACCTTTGCAAATTTTGGTTTATGCGGATTTTCTTCGTCGAAATCATGTAAATTGCAATAAATATCAACAATATTATGATCATGATATATGAATATTTTCGAATAAATAAAAATGTAATTATAGTTATTAAATGTATGTTTTTGAATAGACATATAAAGTCTACAAAGAAATCAGAAATAGAAGTCTTTTTGGCATAGAAATTATCTGAATATGTAGTAAGACCAAATTTCTTATCCTCCAATCTTTGAGAGGAATTTATACGAGTAACCATACGGTACAACAATTCTACCACCCCATTAGTAAACGTTGTAAATGAGTAATGGTTACGCAAAATTTAGCAGTTTTATTAGCCACGCCCACACTTTTCATTGGTTTATTTACGATAAAAAAAATCAACATCATACTTTTGCTATCAGAGTTTCATTTTTGGGACTTCACTATTGCGCCTTCATATCAAATTTTCTTGGCCCTGTTAACATATTCAATGTTGATTCTTTACCATACATCAGGGCGAAGGTGATGTAGTCTGAGGTGGGCGCCCTATCACACAAGCATGGTCTGCGTTCATATCCTATACCGAATCAATAGCCGCCCAGACCATCAAAGTTTTTCATCCCTCCGAGCTCGGTCACGCAACCTACTTGTTTGGGATCGGAAGTCGGGTGGCCACCGCAAGTCATTATAAAGGCCACATACCCATCCAACACGTCACTATGTTTCTCATTGAGAGTCAGGTGTAAGGCGCATCTTCCAGACGGGACAGATTATCACCGAATACTCTCTAATTTAACTTGTAAATTTGCATTCCGACAGTTTTGAAATAACCACTGAGTTGAAACCCTTCACCGTTCTCTAGTTACTTGTTACTTTTTATATGGCAATTGAATCTGTCGTGGCGGTGGCAGATTAATCAAGTAGTAGGCACAGCATAGGAGGTTACTTGATCTGGAACGTCAGACTTTCAGTAGAAGATGAAATAGGATTCCTCTCCTGGAAATCCTCTCTTGCTTCAGCAGTAAAGCCTCAGGACCGCTCAGAGTACGGTGCTTGAACGAGAAAAAAAGCCGGACAGCACGCAGCTGAGCAAGAGATCTCTGAACAAAGGAAGAACAATCAGAGTCAGGCATGCAGCAAGAATTCCTCATGGGGCGGAGGGATTGCTCAGGGAGAATGTGGATGGCTATTTCGGGGCGACAAGTCGTATCCGTCAGCATCCTGATAGGAAATTGTTATGTAGCAGAGTGATCTCTCTTCTATATTTAGCAATAAGGAAGCATAAGATTCTTTTTTCAGAGGGTTTATGATGATATTGAAAAGGCTACGTATATATGAGGGAAATAGAAAAACCCGAGCTCGACTTCGAGTGTGAGGATGAGGGGGAAAAGCAATCTCAGAAGGGATCCAAACTCCTACCGTAATCCACCTAACGCTTCACAATAAACTACCCCTCCAATACAACTAATTTCACGACATTCTACGACCAGCTATTGCATGGGTAATAGTATAACCATGGTACGAATGCGGACCCGTTCTGAAATTTTTTTGTGTAAAGTAATATCTACAGCTAAGTGCAAGCAGGGAACCCATCTAGAGTATTACCTCATAAAAACTTCGAGAAATTCGTTACATTCTCACGAAATTCAATCAAACACGTCATAGATAGGTTCATTCACTTTTCGTGAAGAGGTCTCGGACGGAAATTTTCATCCAATGTTGCGGCTTGGGAGCTCTAAGAGGGAACCTTGTGAACCTCTTGAGCTACTACTACCATGTAGGGATTTCAATTACCTTTCAGAGTTAGTCCATCAAACTCAAATACTTAATCCTCTCATAACGAAAAAAGTGACGGTAAGCGAGCTGAAGAAGAGTGACATGGGAGTAAATCTGCAGTGCTTAGTTACTTTCAACTCGAAAAATTAAAAGGTCAGTTTAGGTGCTTACTCTGGCCTAAAAGGGGTGAAACGGGATGTAAATTAAGGTCTCAACCTTCAAACTGCCAGTGGCTTACTAGTTCCAAACAAACTGGAAGCGTCCAGCATTCGTTGCACTCAGTCCCGGCTGCAGCTCCTGGACTATTAGTGATGTAGTGGGGCTACTTGTCATTGTTCTCTTGCTGTTTTTCAAAGATAAAACGCCAACACGAAAGGGTCCAAGAGGTTGTGGTTCTCAAAAGATTCATCATTCGACAGGCTCAAGGGTTGTTCTTCTTGAGAAGAAGCTCTACTCTAGAGAAACGTGAAATATCCTCGGTCAATAGTCCAAATCACCAGTCCCCTTGTAGCATCATATAGCAGATTCCATGAGTTAATCGTGGAAGGAGACTGCAGAAGCTCATAATCTATTCATAAAGTCCAATACAGCCATTACTGACACTCTTTCCAAAGAACTTGAGATCCGCATTTGGGATAAAAAAAAGGGGGGTGG